GGTTTTCCCCGTAATTTTCGTTTACTTTTTATTACTTCTACTAAAAAATAAGTAGCTTCACGCCAGTTTTTTTCCATAAGAATTGTTCTGGACAGTTTTTATCTGCTTATTTTCTATTCTGAGACAATCTCAACATGAATCTGACGTTTGCTGTTTGGCGTAACCGTGAATCTTAATCTCTCTCAATCAAATCCGGTACGTGTGTCGCAGATGAAATGCTTCGGAAGTTTTATTTGAATCGTGCTTGAGCGATTCTCCCTTCAAAGTATAATTAGAAATCGCGCAGTGGAAGCCATTTTATTGGTATTTGTATGGTAGAAAAATATGCCACATTCAAAGTAAAGCTAAAACCTCGATTATCCGGACTCGTTGGGACTTGAGTAAACAGTCCGGAAAATCGACAGTCCGGATAATCGAAAATATGAATATTAATGAGACAATAATGTAAAAATAGGGAATAAAGAAAAAAAATTTCACTGTGAATTAGCTCCACTTGCATTTTTGTACAGTCTGTATGTTATAATGTATTTACAAATAAAAAAGGCACTGTTTCAAGTGTTCGTGCATTCACAGCACTCTAAAATGTTCAAGCATACTACTTTGTTTTAACGAACTACAACGTGATCGCATAACAAAGTCCATCATTCGGCGAAGCTGCATTATTTGGATAGGGTCAATCTGGGGGATAGGGTCAACTGCAATGAAAACCCTCTCGCACGATAATATATTCAAGATCTCTGACTTTTCTATCACATGCTCACGAGCAGTATGCCACTTGAGTTATTATTTACATATGAAAATCTATTTACTATGAAATTATGGCATAATTTCCCCTTTTTTTGTTAGGGGCCTTATAAGCCTTTTCCGATGATTATATCAGTCATTAACAAAACCTTTTTTTGCTCCTATTAGTCCTATAACAATGTGTATAAAACATAATTAGACATTTAATTTGCAAACCGTGTTTTGTGTACTATTTCATTTTCAGTTTAGTGATTTTTCTTTGTTTTTTCTTTTCTTTTTACACGTTCTTCGTAGACAAATTATTTAAAAGTCAAAGTATAGAGGTGTCCCAAGCGGCATACTACTCGTGAGCATGTGATAGGAAAGTCAGAGATCTTAAATATATTATCGTGCGAGAGGGTTTTCATTGCAGTTGAAAATTGGATGGCGAGGTGTTCGCGAACTAGTGGGCTTATTTCGCCTCAGAACGAGAACCTTTGAAGCTAAAAACTGCCAAGCGGTTTCTGCAGATGCTCTGTTTTGTTTTCTTAATATTTTTGTCGAAAATGAACGGACAAATGCAGAGTAAGTTGGATAAATAGAATATTTTTTAATTTCAACGCGCATGTAGCAGAAAGTTGGTTATATTAAAGCGCTGTGTTCGCCGTAGTTGTCCGATTACTTTTTTTCTTCCAACAATGCTTTGGGTAAGAACAACGTTTCAGTTAAGAGGTAGTTTGTCAGCTCTCTTCCGCTATTTGTGCGTTTACGTTCACAAATGTGTTAGCCTATCATTTTAGCATTAATTGTGGAGCGATTTCTACGGTCACGATTGCCTTCAAACTTGAAGACATAAAACTAGAGAGCTCTGAGGCTTATTCGCTGAAGGTAGGGAAAAATCTGTCGTGGGATTTCGAAGTTACTTTCATTTTTCGTAAAAAGGAGGTTTTAAATATATGCCGATATCTAAGTTTTTATTTATAAGTTTTTATACCTATAAGAAAATAAAAAACATTTTCTTAAAGTTCCATCATTATTTATTAAGGATGCAAAAAATCGTAGAAATCGGTTGAATCTTTCATTCTGAAAAACGCGAATCAAAAACATAACCAACACGCATATAAATAGGAACGGGCCACCTTAAGATTGATTGGTCTTGTGTTTACGAAACCCAAACGGAATCAAGTATGAAATTTCCTTAGCAACATAACAATTCAGCCAATCGGAATTCAGCTGAATGCGCCAGATTCGGCTTACTCAATGTTGTACCCAATTCAAACCCTTTGGCAATAAACCGTTTTGTTTCAGGAATTTCCATATCATTTAAATGTGAATGCTACATTATATTGCAAATACAATACACAAAGAATCTTAACCCCGGGAGATTTGAATTGGGTACAACATTGAGTTGGCCGAATAGGTCTATTGTTCATCTCGGGTGCTTTCCATTATACCTTTCCAACCGGTCAGAGACCACTCGGACTAACTAACGGAAAATGGAACGCGTCGGAACCAAAACTCCGACCGAATTGATTGTTTAGTATTGTCGTAAGAGCTAGGGTCACATACTGCTAAGAGAAAAAGGAGGGAAAACACTGTCAACATTCGGAGAAGCCAGTAATATATTCGTCTTTAAAAACCGATGAAAACCAGAGCAAAAAAAAATTAAGATGCACTGTTGTACTAAGCCTTGTGTGCAACTTTGCATAAGGAGAAAGTTAAGGTCTTGCGTCTGAAGCTTACACACACTGCACTCTTAAACACTTACATCTGAACCACCCACCATTTTGACTACTGTGTGTAGTGACAAGCTGAGGCAAACGGCAATTTTCGGTCGGACCCAACCGACCAGTCAAAGAGGACTAACTCTGGAGGTGGACCACTTTGACCGAAAATTTCCACCTGGGCCGAACCGTTCCATTCACATCTGGACCTGAAATTTCCGGAAATTGTGGCACAATGGAAAGCACCCGCGTCGTGCCCCTCGCACGTTTTCAAAGCGAAACAGATTAAAAACAGTGTTCTAAACATAAGTTTGGAAGGATTAATTAACAATTAATGAATGAGGTTGAGTATCTTATAAAGAATTATGGAGATCGAGGAGGGTGTTATCCGTTGAGGCCGTAGGCCGAGGCGGATAACACCCTCCGAGATCTCCATAATTCTTCATATGATACGAAAGTCGAATTCAATAATTGTTTTATTATTCATTCAAAATAATTCGTAGTTTAAACACATGACATGACATGACATCATTACATTGATATGACACTTGTGGCAGTATTTTGGATATCTTGGTCAATGGCGACGTGGTTAATGCTAAAACTTGGAATGCTTTGCCCCTAAACCAGGTGCGCCACCTTAAAAACTATTCCTGAACCTTCATTACTACTGCAGAAATATAAAAAAAATCGTAGTAATTAGCTTGTTCCATTTACCTGTACTAGAAGTGGATCCTGGAATGCTTTGCATTCTCCAGCTTTTGAGAGGTTCCTTCCTCAGGGAACATGCACCTTCATGACTAGCTATCTTGGAGGGCATATGCTTCTTAAAAGGGGTTCCGCTATCCTCACTTGAAGTACCTGTATTTAAAAGACGGCTCTCGTCAAGGTACTTATCATTACTGAATGTCTACTCAGGCACCTCAACCATAGCTAAAGAGCTTTAAAAACCTTATCCAAGCCCCCACAGGGCGACTTAGTTAGGGCGTTATCACATATTGACAATATTAGCTGTATACTTGAATGTCAATAGAATGTCAACGTTTATAGCAATTCGATGAAAGATGCAATTAGCAAAATTGGAAAACCTGTTCGCACATATTTTTGAAAATATTTAATAATAATAATAATAATAATAATAATAATAATAATAATAATAATATTTGTTTATTTCCACCATTCGCAGATTTCTCTGAATTACAGGTAGGGTCAGGCAAAGCACTTACAAACATACAATTATACATATAAATATATAAATATAAAAACATAAATATAATAAAGTAGTAATATGGTAGAAATCGCATACACATTATTACACACAATCGATATAAGGCGAATATTTAACTGACACGAATTCTAAGAACCGGTCAGTTCGGCCGGGTAACACATGGCATGATGGTCCTGACCTCAGTAAATACGAGGTTTGCGACGAGATGACCCTGTTGGATATTAGGCGGTAAAGCGGGCTAGCGTGCATAGTTTCCGTCACAAATTTCACAAATTTGTCACTAAGATATTTTTAATGGCATAGTGGAGAATTCAGGACTTAAACCACGTTAGGAGATCGCTCTTTTGCTTTCGCTGCACTTAAAGTTTGGGATTTACTTCTTTTTGCGATATGGAGAAGCCCCCCAGTTGTCATTTGAAAGAAGGCACTCAAGACATTTTCATTCCAGACAACCCTTACGGTGTATGTAATACGATGTAATTTTATTACTCGTTTTTAGTAGGTTTTATGCAGTATCCACAGTTTAAGTAACCAAAGTAATGTTTATAATTTTAGTGTCGATGTATTTTAATTTTTTATATATTTATTTATTTATCAGTATTTATTATTTATTCAAAATCTTTTTTTTAATAACCGCTGATAAAAATGGCGACTATCAAGCGACTATTGATATCGGGGCTATATACGTTTTACTGTTATCAAAAATACACTTCTACAGTACGAGTGTAAACGGTAACAAGTCCTGTAGGAAAAAGTACCTCTGAATAATCTAACAATCACTTTCCCCATTTAGATATAGTAGTGTACTATTGAGCAATAGCAAGAAAAACAACTCACGTTTTTGCATACCTGGATTACAAGAGAATTCTGACATTTTTCGCTTAAGGCTATTTTGCGACAGCGAGTCTGTATTCGTGGATATTTTAGTCGGATTTCCTGATGCAGCATCAGCTTTCATTTCACAGTCACTACTAAGGGACGTTTCTGAAACAAGCTGCTCGTAGTGAAAAGTGTTTGTTCTTTGGTTGTTGTCGATTTCCATAGAGGGCTCTGCAAAAACAAGCTTTGGTTACAATAATAATCTCTTTGAAACTTAAGGTTTAGTCAATTCCTGGTGTGCCCTTTCCTCCCCGGGGACGACATTTGTTAGGCATATATTAGGTTGTGTATTCCTACGATAGAACTCAGTGGTCGGCGTTTCTCTCCCCGTCCCTAATTTTTCTTTCTCTAGTGCGCCTCCCGTGCGTCTTCCACTTGGTTAAGAATGGACAGAAATGATTTGTAGACATGCTTTCTACGAAGATGCCTTCATGGTTCTCAGTCATGTCTTACATCCTCTGAGAAGGGTTGCATTTTGTTTCTTAGGAGTTCCGGGCCTTTAGAGAATCTTCTGTTGCAACAAAATGGAGAAAACATGCTATTGCCGGGAAAATGTGTAAATAACCACAATCAAATATGTGAAGTGCTGTAAAAAAGGACTATGACCGTCTTTGACAATAGCCTGTTCCAGGCTCCAAGATAGTGGGGAAAACGGATCGAAAAAAAGCGCCAAAAACAGCGGGAGGACTGAGGAAAGAGAGTGAGGTGGAGCCTGTAAGCATTGTTTTAAATACCTCATTCCGGTATACCAGCTTCTGGTATACCCCCTGATTGGTTTATTTTTGACAGTTTACTTCAACACTTCCATCATTCACTTGGCTTCGCTCGCGCTGAATAAACATCGAGAGCAGATCAGCCGCGCGTGGTTTCAGTGAATCGAATTCTCGATAATTGTCTCAAAGATTTCCGAAACATTGATGCGGGTTATTTGAGCAAAATCTGGGCTGCATAATTTGACTAGAAGGAAAGACGTTTTTGCCATGCTTCCCACCGGTTTGGGCAAGAGCATAATTTTTCAGCTGTTTCCTTGTGTTGTTACATGTCCTTACATCTGAAAAGCCTTTGCGATCTTGTGAAGGAATGCCATCAAAAATCGTTGTTTTGCCTTGTTTTCGATCATGAGAGATCAAGTCGAACCATAGTTAATAGAGGGAATGGTTATGAAACCCGACAAAGTTCTTTGTTGTATGTTTTTGTTCTCTTTTTTGGCCTTGACCCTGCACAAAACACAATAGTTGTTTACTCTGTACTGAGGAACTAACCAATAGAAACGTGCTGGTTACGTAATTCATGCATAACGTATGAACGCAAAACAAAAGATTGTGCAGGGTCGTGGACCTTCTAACATAAATCTTGGCATCTTTGTTTGCTCCTTTGATGTTTGCCGGGCTTCATAACCATTCACCTCCATTAACTATGGTCGAACAGATAAAACGACCAGAGTTCTCGGCTGCAACCAAAGGAATCGGAAAAGAATCGGACGAGAACGAGGAAAAATTGCTTTCTCTTTTTGCAAAATTGTTTTCGGAAGCCCTGAGAGCTGGCTTCCCAAATTATGGATGAAGGAACTCGAAGAGAAAAAATTGGGCCAGCAGACAGCTGCAGTGGCTTTAGATGAAGTCCCTCTGTGACAGTGGTAAACAGGTAAACAAAGAAACTTTATGTTATTGTCTTGGCAATATTTACCTAGCAATCAATTTAGTGGTCAAATATTCTGGGACAATTCGTACATGAAAATGTGGTCAAACAACTATATGTATTCAGTGCTTGTGAAAGACTATCGCTGCACTCTTTCATTTGCGTATGTTATACCACGAAAACTTTATTAGTGTAATGTCTGTGGTACAACATAATCAATTGAGTACATCAGCACTTAACAAATAACTCATACCATGGGTAATGTCTGGTACAACTCTTACCATGTGTAATGTCTGGTACAACATAATCAATTAAGTACATCGAGCACTTAGCAAATAACTCTTACCATGTGTGAGGTCTGGTACAAGATGATCAATTAAGTACACCAGCACTAAACAAATAACTCTTACCATGTGTAATGTCTGGTACAACATAATCATTAACTACATCAGCAACTAGCAAATAGCTCTTACCAAGACCCATTCTCTGCATTCTGTTCACAAGAGCTTCACATTGCTCCTTCCAACTGTACATCTCCCCATACAATGCTCTCAGTGATTTTATCTCTTGAAGCCGCATTCGATGCCTGCTGCGAACAGCTTCTATTGCTTCTGCCCATGCTGCAGGATCATCTGAATTCACGATGCATGAAAAACCAATCGGAACATTTTCTAATGCTTTGGCAAATCCTGACCTACTGCCTACAAGAATGGGTAGTCCCGCAGACAAGGCCTCAAGTGCAGCAAGACCAAATCCCTCTGATTTTGACGGCATTATGACAAGATCAGCTTCGCACAGCAAATCTTTTAGTCTCTCTCTACTTTGTATAAATTTTCTAACAGTCAACTGTGCTTCTGCAATACCACGCTGTAGAAGTTTTTCTCTAACTTCTTCTTGCTTTCCTTCAGGTGCCCCAACAAGAATTAGATGATAAGGTTTGTTTTTTAACCGTTGATCAGTAAATGCCTTAGCAGCAATGTTGTATCCTTTGAGTTCAAAGTCCTCATCATCCCCACGACCAAATAACAACACTTTGAATTCTCCATCCTCGTTAGGATCTTGTTTTGCAACTAAATCCCCAAACTCCCTTTGAAAAAGGCCTGGAGTAATGGACAAAACGTCTTGATCTGTCTTACATCGCTGTAAATATGAAGAGTATGCTTCGTTCAGTCTGGGTCCCACAGGGACAACAAGATCCGCAAGTCTGCAAAGTTCAACTTCTGATTCGTGTTTTGTTTCACCTTTTGAAATGGGGTCACCATAGCATTTGTACTTGCTTAAGTCCTCTGGAGCAGTATGCACCACTTGTACCCACTTACAATTTGTAAATCGAGCAGAGTCTCTAATGACCTGTATTTGCCGACCAAGTTTTACACCATGGCCAACAACGATATCCATGAGGTGCTCATGGGGTGGAAAGCTTAACCAATCAAGACGATCAAATGCTGCAAGTCTCTTCGCCTCAACAATAGTGATTCCATAGGTATGGGCTTCATTTTTTTCCTCATAATTACAAGCTCCCTCTGGGACTAGAAGAGAAACCTTCACTGCTGAATGATTTGAAAGGTGAATAGCAAGCTCCCTGTTTAATGTTGACAACCCACCAGCAGATGAACTCCACTCACCACCAAGAAGAGTGACATGCAACATTGGATCACTGGTCTCAGAATAACAAGCCTACAAAAACAATATCAATAACAGTGAATATGCAGGAGATACAAGACCAAAAGACATAGCAGGTTTGCTAACTGTCAACTGCTAGTACATAAGTTGTAAACTACATTGATACTGGGGTAGAATAGCCAAATTTTCTAATCACTCCAATTCCCTATCATAGTAACACGTATTACAGTGTCTTTAGAAACAAACCCCTTCTATCAAAAAGGAATTAATCAGGCATGTCAACAATATTCTTTATTTTATTATTAATCAAACAAACAAAATTTAATGCCCTAAATGTAATCTCCACTCTATTCCTGATTTTCACCGCACCCATGCACCAAAACGACACGATCACACCATTGCATGTAGATTACTGTTCTCTTGATGAAAGCAGTTTTTACACTGCATCTGGCAACTTTTAATGTTTCTTTTTGGGACACATCACCAAGTAATCGTAAAGTTCTCTTCAAAGGCCAAGAAATGACACTGTATATAGTGTAATAGGAATAAAGAACAGCTTATTTAAAAAAAGAATAAAGAAAAAAGAATAAACCTTTGGGTTGTCGAGACTACATTCTGCTTTCATGGTCTCAGGTTGACTGGATGAGGCAGCCATGGCTGATAAAGGGAAAAATAAGAAATTAAAATGACTAGCTGTCCTAGTAGTAACAATTAGTCCTAATACTTCATGTAGGTTTGACTTTCATCAATGTCAACCAAGTTTTTTAATTCTGAACATTCGATGTTTAGCAGAATCTGGTTATCATTGATTTCACAGTACAATAACACTGCTGGCCACACAATATCAGACAACATGTGGCTGTTTGCTGTCAATACTGTAATTAAGCAGAGGTCGTTTTATCTTTAAATAATATATTATAATATTATCAAGGCATAATAATCATAAAAATTATCTCCATTTTTTGTAAAGCACATTTTCTATAAAAAGATGCAAATGTGCTTCAAAATTGACAAAGCTAATTAAATCTAATCTAGAGTTGTCCTTAACTCCTGCATTATATGATCCTTCTCTAAGACAAAAACTTTCATCATAATGGAAGCTGATTGAAAAATGTCATTAATTAACACAATAAATCATCAAAACGTAAGATTGCTTCCCAGTTTCTTTCTGCCTTAAGTAACAGGCACAGGTACATTTGTATACAGCAAATGAAAATAATGAAATATGATAACTCTAGATTAGTCTTTTAACAAAAATAATCAGAGCAATCAAACAGGTCAGGATTTCCATTTTTTTTTTCTCTTGGAATTACTGAGTAAAACAGACTTCTTTTTAAAGAGAGGGGCAGAGAGGGGAGGAGAGAGAGGGGGGAAGGGGTGGGGGAAGAAAACTTAGGCCATTTAAGCCCCTGACTTTGGTTGTTCTCATGTATTTTCCGAGTGTGTTATATGTAATAATAAAGTTAAGCCTGAATCAAGATAAACTCTTTGAACCCTCCAAAAAACAACAACAAGAACAAAGGTAATTAGTTTTAGTAAAGACATCAATACTCCATACTTAAAATGCTTTACATCTTGTAATAAAAACTATTTCTAATTCCTTCAGATTTTCTTATTAATTAATTGGCCATGAACTTGAGTGATCTAAATCAAGGGTGGAGACTGAAATTCTCAATAAACTAAAATCCAGACTCTTGCCTGGCTCCCAGTTTGGGGGATGGGGGTGATGGCAAAGAGATAATGACATTTTGTACCCCTTATAACCATGTACTGTAGGAACATTTTCTTCACTCAGTTTGCAGGGAGGGAGTTGTTGGGGTGTTGTGGCTATCTACAGATGGGGGAACCAATTCAAAACTACATGAAAATGCACATGCAGAAATGGTAGCAAGGTAGAAGAACCCAAGTTTTGGGCAGTGGGCATGAAACACCTTTTATAGTCTGGCTGACGTGTTAACTGAGAGCAGCGAGTGTCTGACAAGAGTGATTGATTTGATATACAAATCAGTTGTATTTGTATGTTGATCTGCATGGATGCTGATTTTTCATCTCTTATTAGAAAATTTGTGTGAGAGAGGTGGTGGCAGAAAATTAATGCAGATCTAAAGAAGTTTTCAGTCATTTTCATAATATCATAGGATTTAAAGTATAACAATGACTGTACTGCACGTTTGTGCCTTGCTGTGGTTTCCCTTTATACTTGCATGTGGCTGCCAATATGGTGGAACAGGCAGAGGGGAATGAAAAATAAATTAATTGTAAGGTCCCATAGCCTTTTCAATCATGGGCACTTGAAGGCATGCTCACATAGAACCTTTTGAAATTTAGAAGCTCCAAAAAGCAATTTTCAGCCTAACTGAGGGCAATAAATACGATACTGTTGATAACTATTTTTAATTTACATTTTTGTAAGATATTATTTCCTGGATTTTCCACAATGAAAAAGAGCTATTGAGTTAGGTTACTTACAGTTTCCCCAAGCCTCCTTATCAGCAAAAACTGCCATAAGGCATATTAATAAACAGCAAAGAGTTGCCCATGTCCATAACGCTGTGGAGTGCTTGTAACAAGCTGTAGGCCACAGTTATTCATAGGTCTGATAGTGTTATACACCAAATCAATGCAACCATCTAGTAAATTAGCCTGAATTGTATCCAATTACTTTGGGTCGTTATTACTCCCTCAGTAACATCTCAATTGACCGGCCGTTAATGCTGTCTAGTGACGTCACTACTCCTTTGCTTTAATTCATGCAAAAAGTAAAACAAAATTTTCAAATGTCTACATGATACAGAACTGCTGACAGAATTGCTTTACTCTTTTCGATTGTAATTTATGTTTAATGTTCAAACTATCAACTGCATGCAGTACTCTGAACCTGTTGTAATTCAAACTCGGTTGCAATCACGCAGTGAAATAAATACACACATGGAACACTTAGTTCAAAAACACAACAATTTCCTTTAATTGAAAAGAAGCCATTTGGTCCTTAACAAAGAAAAAAGAAAACATGGAAACAAGAAAGAAAAGCTAAGAGAATCATTATACACTTGATGGTGAGAGTAGCAAGAAGGTCAAATGACAACATGACATTGGTCTCAGAAACTAAATGCATTACCAAAATCACTGCGGAAACCACAAAGCGGCTCTAAATGAAAAACCTACTGACTCTCTGCAATGATTCTTCATTCGCAGTTCAATTTAGCAATTCATTTTGGAAGACAAGGGCAATTTTGCTGTTTACGATAAAGATTATCGAAATGTTTGAACTCCACGCAAGCATGGCACCGATGCAATCTGATGTACATAATTATGCAATGTTTAGACAATCAACCAATCAAAATCACTACCCGGTTTTCGGATAGTAGTGATGTCACTGGATGGCATTAACGGCTGGTCAATTCAGATGTTGCTGAGAGGAGAAAACGACGCAAAGCAATTGGATGAAATTTGGGCTACCAGTAGATATGTTTTAAGGAAACCAAGGGGTCAACTGACCCCCCCACAGTTTGCCCCTCCCAAAAGACTGTCACCTCCAGGTCCCAGCCTGCTGACCCCCTCCCCCCCCCCCCACCCCCACCATATTCTTTAAGAAACGAAAGAGAAATAAAGAAACAAACGAAAATTTTGGAGCTGAAAAAAGTTAATGAAAGAATCCACCAACCAAGAAAGAAATGTTTGATTATCCAAACTTATGGCATTAGACATTACATGAAATAACTTTTCAATAGGGGCAATTAACTCGCAAGATAAACCTTCCCTTCAATAGTCGGTGAATCAGTTCAATCTGGAGGAAGGGGGGAAGCGAGTCAGTTGGAAAGAGATCAGTGTGTTGTCGCATTTTGCAAACTCTATGTTTTTTATCGAAATGATCTGGCCCTCACTGAATGCACCTGGATAATAACAAAGCTGTTTTTTTTCTTTTTCTAAAATGTTAGCTCACTAGTGGAAGCCTTTAATCAAAGCCGGAAGTGCATGGAGTCGATCGTCATGAACATTAACGTTTACACTAATTCATCTCGGTTACTGCTGGTTAATGTTATATATACAGTTACTACAAAGAACAGTTTACAAATATTTTAAGTGGAAATAATTTTTCTTGGACTTCTTTACAAGTTAACGCAGCATCAAACCTGTACGCTAGCTATTTGTGAAAACAGAAGGCCAAGGACCTGATCTCAATCACAGATCAACAAAATTTCCTGCAGATTTATCAGTGAGAGGATACCTTAAGGAACAAAAAGGCGATTCTTACCCTGCTACAGCTCCAAGATCAGCTGTTCGTATCTTTCCTTCGATATTCTTCCAGTAATATCTCCTTTACTTTGACGCATAGAATCAACACCGCTCGAATCAGACCAAAACCGCCATCATCCCATCGTCTAGCCTCAGGAATCGCCTCTATGTATGCCAAATGAAATGTCCCGAAAGATGTCCAGTGGAGCAGATAGAAATGCGGTTTCAAGACATGCACCCTTACAAATTCTGTCTGAAAAATTCACCTAAAGTTCAATAAATCCGTCTTCAGGGCTCCTGGTCTAAAAAGGCTCCAGCGATTCAAAATATATATTCCCATTTGTGTTTGATATCACCAATATTTGTTTTCTTAAGATTCGTCTTTCCCGCTTGCTGATTCAGCCATAAACAAGCAGTACTGAGTTATCTGCTGTAAAACTTGCTGCGATGCGGTGCGCGTGCGTTTAATAGTCACACGAAACGCATAGGAAAAAAAATAAAATTTTTGTACAATTCAATAAGTTTGCAGTTGTGCTAATGTTTTAAACAATGAGTACATCGAGCTTCGTCGGAATCTAAAAACCAAACTCTTGTAATACTCATCACACTTGCAAAATCCTCATCTTTCATTTCCTGGAAAAAGTGAATGTAACCCTATTCAAGTTCCGTTGCATCCTGGCGTGTCCCGGGATCCTCATTGTATCCTAAAATTTCTACAAGAATCGAAAAAAAAAATTTTCCTTTATGATGAGTCTAGCCTGCCGGGCTAGCCTGACGATAATAGCATGATATCAGTTGAGACAAATATATTACAAATATACCTCCTATTAAAAAAAAAAACTGTCGCAATGGAGTGTTTAAGTACACTTCTTCGTTCTTCTTCTTTGTTATTACAGTTTCTATAAGCTTTATGTATACTGCAAACGGCAAACGTCAGATTCAAGTTGAGAATTTCACAAAATAGAAAATGAGAAAAAAAAAGAGCTCAAAACGATTATTATGGATAAAAAATTGAGAGAAACTACGTATTTATGTGTTAAAATAATGAACAGTAAACGACAAATGTACTGCAAAGGGGAAACTTGGTCACCTGGTACAATTTTGTCACGTGATGCTTAACCTCTTTAATAGACCTCCTTAGCTCGTATGTTTTGTTTTCCCAATACAGGTCATGTAATAATACTATAGAGAGCTGTTTCTTTCAAATTTCGTCCTGTTCACGTGCATATATATGTACGCACAAAAATACAAAGTGTCAAGTTCCCCTGGGACCTCTATTGGGAAAACAAACCATACAAGCTAAAGAGGTCTATATCTCGCAATCCAGTNACAACAGGAAATGAAGATCTTTTCATCTTAAAGGCGATAATGTCAAAATATGGGTGGAAGTGATCATTGTTACTTTACAATATACAGTAG